GAGGTCCTGAGCCAATACTGAGCTCTTACTATTACCAATATATTCAATTAAAAGAATAAATTCAAGAAGGGTGTGATCCATACCTATAATTTTAGCACTAGGAGGCTGAAAGAGGATACACACACACACACACACACACACACACACACACACACACACACACACCCTTGATGACCACAGCTCAGCCCCCTGAAACCAATTAAGGGTAGAAGTAGAGAACTGACTAAAAAGCTGCTTTCTGACCCCCACACCTGTGCCATGACATGGGTGCCCACACAAACAGATACAAATACTGTAATAAAAAAAAAAATTTTTTTTTAATGTTCTCAAGTAAAAAATCAAAACCAAACTGGCCTACATAAAAAGTTCCAGGTCAGCCAGGGCTAAAGAGCACTCAAGTCTTTTAAAAAAAAAAAAACCTCAATGTTACAGGAAAGAAGGCAAATACAAAAGAGTATCTACTATATATAAAGTATGGTTTTATTTATGTAACTTTTAAAACTACAATCTGAAGTGACAAACAGCAGGTTAGTGGTTCCCAAGACCAGTTTGAAAGGAAAGATTAAAAACAGAAAAGAAAGCTAGGCATTGGTGGCACACACCTTTAATCCCAGCACTCGGGAGGGAGGCCAGCCTAGTCTACAGAGCTAATTCCAGGACGAAAGAGAGAGAGGGGGGGGGGGAGGGGAGAGAGGGGGGGAGAGAGAGGAGAGGAGAGGAGAGAGAGAGAGAGAGAGAGAGAGAGAGAGAGAGAGAGAAAGGCAACTACTATACTACTATAAAGAAACACGAGCCAGGCAGTGTTGGTGCTCACCTTAATCCCAGCACTAGAGAGGCAGAGGCAGGCAGATCTCTGTGAGTTCAAGGATATCCTAGTGCTCCAGGACAACCTCCAAAGCCACAGAGAAATCCTGTCTCAAAAAACCAAAAAGAACTCAAGCCAGGTGTGACCTAGCCAGTGAGTACTGTTTCAAAACAAAAACAAAACAGACAAAACAGAAGAAAGGAAGCAAGAATTTAAGACCTCAAAAAAGCAAATCAGACCTATCTAAATAAGAAACTAAAACTAATAGAAAGTAGATGTAAGAAAACTAAATACATATTATGAAAGAATGAATAAGATATAGAGGACAGGAAGAAGATTCCATATAAACATATGGTCTGGAGAGGAATCAGGCAAGGTGACACACACTTGTGAGCCAACATTCAAGGGGCAAATGGATCAAGAGGTCAAAGGCAGACTCACCTACATTAGCTTTAGGCCAGCCTGGACAACATGAGGCCCTATCTTATAAAATGCACTAGTAAGAAACAAATCTACACTATCACTGGAACTTTCATAATTAATAATAAGTCTCTGTGTCATGATTTGGGAGCTGACTAGAGGAACAGACTCTCTATAAGTGATGTCCAATGTGAGGAGCGTATATTTCCACATAAGACCAGGGAAAGCTTTAAAAAATGGTTCCAAACACAAAAACGGAGGCAAACACAGCTTCCTAGTCCCACAGTCTCTCATGAGAGCTGAAGTACAGAACTGACTCTCCTGGCCACTGCCTGCAGGCTTGAGCCACCACCAGTGCACCATGAGCTTAGCTGCAGGGCAGTTGAAGGTTTTGCTCATGCAGACAGAAAAGATTACAGATATACAGTACATTCCAAAGGGGGAAAAAAAAAAACCTCTGAACAGGTTATAGTGTGTTTTTTAAAATGTGCATAGGCTTAAAAAAGAAAATGGGTATAGACAGTCATAGAAAAATAAAATAAAAAGGATAAGCCACATAAAAGTGGGAAAAACACAGGGTGTCTGGATCCTGTATGGTGTTATACTGACTTTAAATTTCTTGATTGCTGATGATCAAACAATAGCTGCTGAGTGACATTTGATTATGGAAACTGCTAAATTAAATCAGCCTATATATTTTTTAAAATGTCTTAACTTCAAAATGGAAGTAAAAAAATATATTGCTTTGGGGAAGAGGTTATGCTTTTGTTTCCACAGAAATCAAAAGGCTGTAGATTCAAACATAAAACAAAAAATCATCTTTGGCTGGCTTGTGTACAATTCACAGTCCTTACTTACGTTAATGTAGATATGTATATGACCTTTGAAAGTTTATGTGTTTTCACAGCAAGGGGACCAGACACCAATGAAAATGGGTAGCCCAGGTAATCTAGCCTCTCAGAGTGCCTCTGTTGCAGTTTCCTCATAACTCTGCATCCAGAATGGCTTTAAAGATGCTGGCTGAGATGATTCAGCCTCATAGACTATTCTAGCCAGGACTCTGGCCATTATCCTAATTTTCTCAGCTCCCCCCCCAAAAAAATTCGAGCACCCCCATACAACAGGAAGAAGTCTAGAGAACACAACACCCACATTCCCAAGAGATGAGATGGATGCTTTTTGGTCATTCAGTGGGTTATGGATACTTGCCACTGTTTAGGAGGGTTGGTTGTTAACTTGTTATTGGTCATGGTCAAAAAAAAAAAAAAAATTGAACAGATGAGATTAGATTCAGAGATCCATTTCTGAAAAGGAAAAGGGGGAAATATATAAAAATGATGGGATAAAATTCTAGAACTCTTAGTTCAAAACATTCATCCCATTTCCATATCCCACAAGTAAAAAAGAAATTTCTAAAGAGAAATGTTTCTTACTGAGCCATCAAGTAAATCTGGCTCAGGTAAAATCTGAGAGTAAGACTGGCTTTAGACTAAAATTCAGGCATTAAAATTACTCGTCATTTGCTTAAACTTGGGCCAACAAAAGAATTCTTTGTGCTTCCTCTTCTAAGGGAGAAAACACCACACAAAGACAGAACATACATACCTATCCCTACAACTGAAAGCTTCACTTGATCTGGACACTCAGCACACACACACACACACACACACACACACACACACACACACACACAGTCACAGCAGTTAAGATATCCATAGTGCAGAAAATCTTATCCCTCTCTTCCTTACCAGCAAGGCTTCCCACCCATAACAAAGTGACATTTGACAAACCTAGAACTTTGGAATGTAAGACTAAGCCACAAAAACCAGGCAGAGAGAAATATTGAAACAAGTAGGTAAATCATGTTTTCAGGAGGCAGCCTCATTTCTCACCCCACCCCCCAAAATTGATAACTTTGAAATTAAAGCAAATGCCACCCCAAAAAAATGGGCTAACAATAGTTTAGCAATCGAGTGATTGCCTACCACACACCAAAATAAAACAACCCCCCCAAAAACATAACAAAAAGTTGAGTAAGCTGGGTTTCTATTCCCTTCGAACCCAGTAAGACACAACATTCCAAGACATACAGTAATGGCCATTACATGCTCAAATCTTTTTTTTTTAATAATTTTATTTTTATTTACATTGGTGTTTTGCCTGCATATATGAGTGTGTGAGGGTGTCAGATCTTGGAGTTACAGTTGTTAACTGCCATGTGGGTGCTGGGAATTGAACCCAGGTTCTCTGGAAGAAAAGAGTGCTCTTAACTGCTAAGCCATCTCTCCAGTCCCAGACATTCTCAAATCTTGAGACGTCATGGGGAATTAGTAACAAGTCACTACCTAGAAGAGATTCTAATAACACAGATAAGTGTGACCGCAGAGGTAAGCAAAAAAGAGTTAACATAGAGGACACAGCAGCAATCCAAATGAACCTTTTTTCACCTACAACCTTCATACAGTCACATCACTTAAGATCTTTGTGCCAGGCAGTAGTGGCACACACCTTTAATCCCAGCACTCAGTAAGCAGAAGCAAGTGGATCTCTGAGTTCGAGACCAGCTTGGTCTCAGAACGCAATCCAGCACAGCCAGAGCTAAACAAACAATCTCAAAAGACAAAAGAACAAAAATATCTTAAATTTGTATTCTCAAGGTGCTTGTAGAAACAATGTATCTAGCCGGGAGGTGGCAGAGGCAAGAGGATCTAGATCCACGAGTTCGAGGTCAGCCTGGTCTACAGCGTGAGCTACAAGATAGACTCCAAAGCTACAGAGAAACCCTGACTCGAAAAACAAAACCAACAAACAAACAAACAAATAAAAAAACCCCACACCAAGCCAAGAAGTTGGTAAGGCAGGTAAATTCATTGTTTACATACAAAGTGCATCCCAACACAGTCCCTTCCAATTTTTTATGCTCAACTCTCAAAAAGCACACGTATAGCAAAACTCGCACCAGCTGTGCAACCCTTGCCAAGGTAAAACATTATAAACCTCAAGGCCCCCACCTGTGAAACATGAACCAGGTTGTTCCGAAATTTTAAATCAGATCACTATATTGTGCAACACAATGTTAGAAACATAGTGGAAGCTAAGAGATGCCACTGCTGCTACCATAAATAATAAGCGAGCACCTGACATCACAGGACCCTCAGGTATAATTTGAGTATTGCACAACTCCCGTCACCGCGGTCCTCAACCATAAGCCCACCGGCAAGGCCCCAAACAGACCCACGCCCACAAAGTATTCCCGGCACCCACAAACCTGGCCCCCTGTAGGTTCTCCTTCACCCTCGGTTACAAAGGAGGCTCTCCTCTCGCACCGGAGAGGTCAGCACCCCCTCTAAGCCTGGCCATCCCCTGATCACACCCAGGCCCGCACGCCAGCCAAGAACCCGCGCCGGTTACCTGGACGCAAGCCCACGCGCTCGCTGGACCGCACTTCGCCTCGAGGTTTATCCCGCTCGGTGAAGACACAATTACTTTAAACTATAGTCCCGCCCCCTCCCGCCGCCCTCTCATTGGACCGGGTCGACCGTAGTTAGCCGGGCAGGAGGACCCGGGAAAAGGAAGTGCAAGGGCGACTATAAAGGAAGAAGGGGTAATACTACTTCCGGATTCCGGCCTGTCCCTGATGGTAACAAGAACTACAAGTCCCAACAAGCACTGCGGTTTCGGCGTTCTGCCCCAATGAACTTCAAGTCCCGAAAGGCACCACGAACACGATCACTGCTCTCTTTGGGGCGTGGTAACGAAGGTAGTTGCCATGGAGTTGCGCTGAGTAACCCTCAGGTAGTGGGACGCTGAGGCCGGAGGATAAGAGACTGCGGGTGAGTTGGGAGGGAAAACAGGAAAACCTTTCTAGGACACTAGAGGTCTCTGAAAGAGGAAGAATTCCACAAAAAAGAATAAGAACTTTCCCAATCGGAGACCTGCGATTCTCCCCAAACACTAATTCCTATTCACAGTGAACAACAACACTCGAGATAATCCGGGGGACTACGGGTATGATACCCATACATTTTTTTGGCACCTCAACGCAAGCATGGCGATTCCCCAGTACGGGTGCCTCGAGTCCCAGACACAGGGAAATTAGAAAAGCCCTCGGGCATGGCGTTGGTTTTCCTCTAGGGAACCAGGACTTGCTTAACATGACACATCAGAGTGTCATAGGACTTAAAATCCCCCTTTCCCTTACTCTTCCAAGCATGAACACCTTTTTCAAAGAATTAGCAGGTTCTTCCCATCCACAAGCGTATGAATGTTGTCTCAAATTAGCCTTTTCCTCCTCTATCCCTGCCTTGTGGGCTTCTGGAAACTAGTTTAGATCTTCATTCTTCTACATTCCTCATGACAAACTTATTACATTTAGTAACTTCTCACGTTCTTTTACAGACTCTTTCTATTAAAATAGCTATATGAGTCAAGTATATTTATCCCTGTTCCACAGATTGAAAAACTGAAACCCAGATAAGGGACTTGCCCAAGGCCACACACCACACCAGTGACAAAGCTAGAAGTAGATTCCAGTTCTTTAAGATCAAACCAGCTCTCTTTAGCCTGACCTGGCTGCATCTATAGCAGCTTGTACTTGTCCCAAGGATTACTTTAAAATGCCCCCCCGGGGGGGGGGACCTGTTTGACCATCTTGAGTTATTTACACTTCAACATGAATTTCAGATCCATCCTTGAAATTATTAATGAAGAAAGGAAACTAGAGACTGAAGGTAACGGGAATCAAATGAGTTTAAATTCAGCACGAAATAGCTGACAGGACACCTGAGATCTAAAGCTGCCATGATAGCTGGCCCTGATTGGTCCCTTACTATTTTAAAGTTTCTCTGGGCTTAGTCTTTTGTTCCCCCATTTCACTGTACCATCTTCTTAGAGCTCAACACCCACTCCTTTATTTGCCGCCTGCATGTCTCCAGCCAAGCCTTCATCTTTTAAGTTCCAGATATAAATAACCATTGTTTCCCTAATATCTCTTTCAGGATATATTTGAAGCCTGTCAAATTCATTGTTTCTCTATGCACTCCCCTACATGCTTCCAAATCTGGGATTCATCCAATAATCCCACAATGCAAATGTATACAAGACAAGCCCCCAAGTGTTATCCCTAATAACTTCCATTTCTAATATAGTCTACTTAATACCTAAATGTCTTTTTTCTTATTGTTTAAGAATTTTATACATGCATATGTGTTTTGATCAAATCTACTTTCCCTCATTCCCTCACCTATAAATCCTCTCTTAAGCCCCTAAATGTCTTTTTCCTTTCTTTCTTTCTTTCTTTTTTTTTTTTTTTTTTTTTTTTTTTTTTTTTTTTTTGGTTTGGTTTTTTGAAACAAACTCACAGAGTTCCACCTGCCTCTCCCTCCCTAAATGCTGGGATTAAAAGTATGCACCACCACACCTAACCTAGATAAATGTCGTTTATATGAGGGGCTGTTTTGTTTTTCAAGAAAGGGTTTCTCTGTAATAGCCTTGGCTATGCTGGAACTTAACTTTGTAGACCAAGCTGGCCGCAAACTCACAGAGATAACACCTACCTCTGCCTCTCGAGTGCTGAGATTAAAGGCAAGCGCAACAGTCCAGCTAAAATAGTTAATAAATGTATGTATGTGTGCAAGAGCCCTCAGAAGGCAGAAGAGAGCATCAGGTCCCCTGGCTCTGAAGCAACTGGTCCAATTTGGTACTAGGAACTAAACTCAGGCCCTCACCAGAGCAGCAAGTGCTCTTTGTTTTTGTTGTTGCTGTTGCTGCTGCTGCTTTTTTCTTTTAAAGACTTGTCTTCCTTGGTGGCTCAAGCTGTCCTCAAATTTGCAATCATCCTGCCTCTGTCTCCTATGTGTAAATAATTTTTATTCAGTCCTTGCTGCCATCCTATCCTTCCTACATTTCCTTCTAGATCACTTTGCATATTTCAACAAAAATAATTTTTAAATAAAAATATTTTATTCACTCTCCTTACCTCCAATATACATCCTGTGGCTTCCTGCTGTTTTTAAAATAAAGGAGCATCTCAGGGTGGCTTCTGCCCACCTCTCTAGCCTGTACTCTCACCATCCATAATCCTTTTTTCCATTCTAGTTTATATCACTTTAAGGTCTTCCAAATTTCTGAGCACACACTAGAACATGCCTTTGTCCACAGCTATAATGTTGGTCCTTTTTTTTTTTTTTTTTTTTTTTTTTTTGTGGGAAGTGGGTGGTGAAAGTAATCCCATACATGCTAAGTACTTTCTGTCTCTCAGCTATATCCCAAGCCCAAGCAACAGTCTTTTCCTCCCATGATTCTGTACTTTTTGCCTGTACTTATCCTTCAGAAATGACCAGATCAGATCCCTCAATTATAGTGCTTCCTGTCCTGCTCTATCATTTATTTAGTTGTATCAGTCAGGAAGTGAATATACGATGACATCCAACTATGAGAAAAACCGTGTTTCCTGCCCTGCTGGAGTTTCTGGTCAGATAGACAGTGAGCAGATAATTAGTGTTCTGAGTGCTACCATGGCAGTAAGTATAGGGTATGGTGAGAGCCAAGTAAGGCAGCTTCCACTTCCTGATTGAGGATAAGGAAAATTTTCTCAGAAAAGTTCAACCTATAGTTGGCTCCTGAAGCAAGAACAACAAGGGGAACATGAAAAAACCACATTCTAAGCAGATGACTCTCAAAAGGGGAACTTTCAATCTAAGAGGCCCTGGGAGTGCAGGGACCCTACTGTGAGTTGGAGTTGTTGGATTTGGCCACACTGCAGAATATGGTGCAGATAAGAGGGGGGTTGGCAGGCAGGAGTCAAGTCATCCTTGGGATTTCCTTTAGCACCTGGGAATGTAATCTTTCAGAACATATTAGCTGTGTAGCCAATTTTTTATGGCATCCTTTGATTTTTTTTTTCCCCTCCACCTGCAGCCCAAAGACAGAAATCCTCTATAAACTAGGCTGTCAAAATCTCCTATCAGCTTTCCTATCTGATTATTGCTCCAAGCCTCCTACAACATTCTTAGTAATTCTCCAAACTTGAAATTTCTGGCAACCTAGAATAGGTTAAATAAAGTTAAAAATATCATATATAGCCTGGCAGCATGGTGGTACAGGCCTTTAATCCTAGCACTTGGAAAGCAGTGATGGTGCACAACTTTAGTCCCAGTACTCAAGAGGCAGAAGCAACTACATCTCTGAGTTCTAGGCCAGCCCAGTCTACAAAGCAAGTTCCAGGACAGCCAGTGCTACATAGAAAAACCATGTCTCAAAAAAAAAAACAAAACAAAAATAAAAACAACAAAAAAAAAGGGTGGGTAAGAGAATATACAGGAATATGGAAAGAAAAAAAGAAAAAAAATACTGACTTACAAAGGAATATACAGGGCTTATTTATAAACATCTAGTGTCTTTTATGTATATTACTGGAGATCCCAAACTCTTCATGTAAATTAAGACTTTGTTCCTGAATCTGTTCATGTGTTTCCATGTTGTTTGACTTTGGGGGGGGGGTTGTTTGTTTTATTTGTTTTGTTCTGGAGACAGGGTTTCTCAGTGTATAGCCCTGGCTGTCCTGGAACTTGCTTTGTAGACCATACTGGCCTCAAACTCACATGTATCTGTCTGCCTCCCGAGTGCTGGGATTAAAGGCATGTGCCACCACTGCTTGGCAACATCTACAGTTTTGTTGTTTTTTGTTAAAGTTTTGCAAAGAAAACTCCAATTCAAAACAAGTGTTCTTGTTTGACTCTCATTGGTTATATCAGTGAGTCAGCTTGGTGAGATGAATGTCATGTAGAGTATCTTCTCTGAAAAGAGTGGCCTGGAAAGCACCTGAATCCAAAGAGCAACAGGAGTAAGGAAGGCAGCATCTGGCCTGGAAAGCAGGCTTCTTTGTGACACATTTAAGTCATCATGTATTACTTCTTTAATTACTCCATTTAGTCATAAAACCAGTACCCAGTCTTTGTCAAGTTTAGTGTATTTATTGAAAAAGAAGTCTAACTTCTTGTCCCTATCCCCAGATTTACAGGGAAACAACAGAAAGTAAACAAACAGTAAAGAACTTAGTATGGAGGGCTGAAGGTATAACTCAGTTCCTAGAGTATTTATCCTGGCATGCACAAGGCCCCAGAAACACACACACAGAGTAAAGTACTGGGTAAAATACTTCCATTTACTGAATATCTGCTGTAGGCCATACAATAGCTCTTCAACTTGCATTGTCTTCATTTCACAGTAAGAAAACAGGTGATGATAAACTTTTGTTCAAAATGCATCTGGGGAATGGGTCAGTTAGCTATTGCTGTGTGTCAAACCATTCAAAACCACAGGGGCTTAAAACAACAAACATTCTTACTTTGATGACTCTGAGTTACCTGAATGGATCTTTTATCTTGTCTAAATTCATATATCTGCCTGAAGTCATGGGCAGATTAGGTGACCTTCCCAATCTGACTATAGACAAGTCTAAACTGGTCTCAGCTGAGGTCATTGGCTCATTTTCACCTCTAGCACCTGCCTGACTCAAATCCCTCAAGCACTCCAGCCAGTTCTCATGGAATCAGCAGAGAGAAGAGCAAGTCTTCAGTAGTTTCTATTTGCCAGGCTGGAAATGTAGCTCAGTGCTAGAGCACTTCCCTCGTATATAAAAGACTCTTGAGTTCTTGTCCAGTGCACAAAACAAAACCTTAAGTCTTCTGTTTTCTTCATTTTATGAGCATCTCACTGGCTGGTTCAAAAGGTGAGTTCAGCATCAGAATAAGGTAGAACTATAAAATTATAGTGCAAAGGTGATAGATATAGGACAAGACAATATATAGGAATTATTGATTCTTGCCAGCTTTAATACCTAAATTGATAAAAATAAATTTAAAAGATCTGTTTTCTCTGAACTAGAAAGATTTTTACAAAGCCAGGTTATTACATGCCTATAATCTTAGCACTTGGGATGTAGGAGGTAGAGGGGATTAGGGATTCAAGTCATCCTTGGCTACATAGTGGGTCCCAGGCCAGCCTGGGCTATATGAGAACCTCAGTGTGTGTGTGTGTGTGTGTGTGTGTGTGTGTGTGTACATACAAACAAAATCATATACATATGTGTGTATAATTTTAAATGTATACAATATTAAATATACATGTATTTTTTTTAAGACAGGATTTCTCTGTGTAACAGCTCTGGGTGTCCTAGAATTCACTTTGTAGATCAGACTGGCAAACTCATAAAAGATCCACACCTGCTTCTCTACTTTATGTCTTGAGACAGGAGCTTTGCCTAGGTGTGCTTGCCAGTAAAAGTCCCCAGGATCCTCCTGTCTCTATTTTCCAGTGTTGAGATTACAGGCACCAGCTGCTACTGGTTTTTGTGGAGAGGGGTTCGAGACAGTATTTCTCTGTGTAACAGTTCTGGCTGTTCTGGAACTCACTTTATAGATCAGACTGTCCTCAAACTCAGAGATCTGCCTGCCTCTGCCTCTGCCTCTGCCTCTGCGTCAGAAGTGCTGGGATTAAAGGTGGTAGAAATGGTGGTACAGATACACTAGGGCTGAGGGTGAAACAGTATTTACTAAATAGACAACTGTAACTTGGAACTGGCTAGATTTTTCTGGCACATCAATAAAAATCCAGCAAGGTCTCTCTGACAGGACTCTTGTTATTTGCCCCTTGGCTTCATTCCTTTTGGTCAGGCACAGGGCAGCAGGCAGAACTGAACTGATATTTTACTGGGAATGAAGTGTGGAATGAAACAGCTGGACCTGGGAGCCAATTGTTAGAATAGCTCAGTGTCAACTCTGCCCAAACAGATGTCAGTATATTGGCAGTTTCTCATTCCACAAATGCCTTTTATAAGCCAAGTTCTTTGTATGATGGTGACTAAAACAGTCACCATCTAGCTACCAACAAGCAGAGTCATCATCATAGAGCTCCACTTTCATAACTTCAAAAAATTCATTGCAAGCTGGTGCTACACAAAATATTTCTGCTCTAAAGTTCTAGCCACCAAAGAACAGTAAAATTTCTTCTGTGATATTTTAAAATACATGTTCATGCCAGGCAATGGTGGTACACACTTTTGATCCCAGCACTCAGGAGGCAGAGGCCAGCCTGGTCTACAGAACAAGTTCCAAGGCAGCCAATGTACACACAGAGAGCCCTGTCTTGAAAACCAAAAAGAAAAAAAAGAATAGACTAGAAAGATGTCCTAGCCAACAATCAAAAGTACTGACTGCTATCCAAAAGTACCCAGATTCAATTCATGATGGCTGACAACAGTCTTTAACTCCAGTCCCAGGAGATTTGACCTCTGGCCTCCACAGACACATAACCAGAACACAAACATACTTGTAGACAAATAGCCATACACATAATTTTTTGTTGTCTTTTGAGACAGGGTAAAAGAAACAGGATTTCCCTGTGTAACAGCCCTAACTGTCCTGAAACTAGCTCTATAAAATAGGCTAGCCTCACATAAATTAAATTAAATTCAATAATTTAAAATGTGCCAGGCAAAAAACAAAACAACAGAAATTTAAATGTAGGTATTCAAGTACATTGGGCTTCTGCCTAAGCTAGGTTCCTCTAGTTCTACAAAAGAAGACTGTGAGGATTGCAGACATGGCTCAGTAACAGAACTTAACCAGTATGTGCAATGGATATATATTCTATCCCTAACACCATAGGAAAAAGAATAGTGAGTTGTTGAATGCCTATACATTTTCCTAAGCCAAAGGGAAACTGCCTAAATTAATCTAGCATGGTTGAGAAACACTTGACAGTCAGTGCAGTGAGGACCTTTACATGTTGTCCGTGTGTTCCTACAAGTTTGACTTTGCTGCTGCCCAAGGGAGCACTGCTAGCTCCTGATCTTTTTTTTTTTTTTTTTTTTTTTTTTTCCCTGCTTTCATTTTGAGATACAGTTTTGTGTAGTCCAGTGATAGCTTCAGACTTGCTCTGTAGCTAAGAGTGACTTTGAACTCCCCATCTTTCTGTTTCTGTCTCCCAAGTACTAGGAACACATATGTAAGCCACCACAGTCACATTGGGTTTTGAGAAAGGATCCCACTATGTAGCTCAAGCTCAGGCCAGGCATTTATAACTAAGAATAAGCCTCCATGTGTGATTATTTGGGAGCTGGGTTTTGGGCCCCTCAAAATGCCAAAAGAGCAAAACCAACACACAATATTTTTTTTCTTCTTTTTGTTTTTTTGAGACAGAGTTTCTCTATATAGCCCTGGATGTCCTGAAATTCTCTTTGTAAACAAGGCAGACCTCTAACTCATATAGATCCCCCTGCTTCCTTAATGTACACCCAACTTTTTATTCCCCCAAACCTGATAAAATCTGTTTTTTAACTTTTTAAAATCTGTTCCAGCATATATTAAATTGCCAAAAAAAAAAAAAAAAGGAATTTACTTGCACTTATTAAGCCTAAACTGAAATCAGGTCCTTTGTGGGTTTTATTGTTGTTGAAATAGGATTGCATTATATATAACCCAGGCAGACCTTGAGTTTATGATCCTCCTACCTCAGCCTCCAGTGTTCACCAGCCACCTAGCATTTCCAGCTTTGTCTTTGCATTCTCAACTGTGTCTTTTTTCTTTGTTGTTTTGTTTGGTGTTTGTTTTTGAGACAGTGTTGCTCAAGCTGGCCTCAAACTCATAATCTTCTGCTTTAGGGTCCCAAGTGCTGGGACTAGAGATATGCCTCCTGACTTTGGCTTCTAACAGTTTATTTGAATAGTACTTGCTAATGCTTCATTCATTGTCTCTGCACAGAGACTAATTTCTTCTTTGATTCCTATAATGAGTACCAGGCATTCCAAGGCTTCCCTTTGTCCTTTGGCTGCTAGGAATGTAATCACTAAGTCTGAGATCCCTGATACATTTCTTTTAATCTAGTTAGTTTTTGTTTTTGTTTTCAGAAAAGTCTTGAATGGCCTAGAACTTGCTCTATAGACCAGGCTGGCCTCGGACTTAGGGATCAACCTGCTTCTACTTTCCAAGTGCTGTGATTTAAGTATGTGCCACCACACCTGGATTTTGCCTTCCATTTTTAATTTTCTCTATCAACATTGTCCAATTTGGTAACCATTAGTCATGTGTAACAGTTAAGCACCTGACCCAACAGGTAGCTAGTTCACCTTGGGATGGGCTCTAAAATAGCTCAGTAATTACTAATATTGATTACATTCAATGTTTTGGACATGCTGAGTTAAATATTAGAATTGATTTCACCCATTTCGTTTTACTGAAATAATAGCTCCTAAAATTACCTATTTATTTACTTGTGTGTGTGGCCAAGTATACAGAAGCCAGAAGACAATTTTATGGTACTGATCCTCTCCAATTATGTGTTCCAAGGATCAAATTCAAGTTTCCAGGCTTGTGCAGCAATTGCCTTTATCTGCTGAGCCTTCTCATTAACCCCCATAGCTCCTAAAATCTTGAAATTATGTATCTCAAAACTTGCATTTGTGACTTGCATTCTCTCTTTTGGGCAGCATAGCTCTACAATGCACCTTGCTTTATGAGCATGTATTGCTATAAACCTCATGCTTTTGGAAAGCAAGGAAATAAGGCAGAGGACGTGACAACAGTGGATGGAGTGAAAAGAAGTATAGCCTAGAAACTTGTCTTTTGTCTGTTTGCTTTTTGTTTGTAAGATTCACACGCACATAACAAAAAACAAACAGCCCTTGGTAAAGTGTTTTTCAGCTCTCTTCATCCCAGGTGAGTAGTATTCCACAGTTCTGTCTCCAGGGGAAGCCTGTCCTCAGTTACTTTACCTAACATATTGGAAAGGATTGGATAAGATAAGTCACTCATTACAAATGACTGATAACTTTGTGTTCACCTCTCTCTGGGGGTGTTTCCATTTTAACAGGGAACAATCCCTGAACCCAAAGGAATGAATCCCTAATGGTGGAGTTTCAGGCTTCAGTGACAGGTGAGTGAGGGTAGATTCTGGTTTTCTGTTTGTGTATTGTTACATCCAAGATGTACTAGAAATAGGGTTCTCAGGTAGGAAGGGCTAATCAGCAGGCTGCACAGAGAAGGAAGGAAGCAAATCTCTAGTTGTGCTACAAAATGAAGGACTCAGACACCAATCAGATACAGTGCAGGCCTTCAGGGGTTTGTTAAATAACAGAATAGTGCAGCTGATGTCAACAGAGACTAGGCAACAAGGCAGTCTCTATGGTAACTATTGTGCAGTAGTAAGAGGGATCTCTAAGATTCCGGAGACTATGACTGCTGTCCACAACTGACTCGGCTTAACTCTGGGCAAGTCCTTTACTCTTTGGGTCTCAGTTTCTTCATCTGGATAATAGAAATGGGTACTATAGTCATGTGATGGTCCATACCCATAATCCCATGTGGATCATTAGTTTGAGGCTAGCCTGGGCTACATTAGCCCCTATGTCAATAAAACAAAACAAAAACCCCCATAAGGAATGGGTGCTATCACTATCAGATGACTTCTAAGTGTCATGAAGTTTCTCTGAGAAGTAAGAAATATACCACACATGAAAGGACCAGTATCTTAAAATGGAAATGAGCTAGGCAAGCCGAGAGCTGTAGAGTAGAAAGCAGTGTGGAGGCTGTGGGGAATCCTGAGGGTAGACACTCCATATATGGAACAGTCATTTTTCTCTGTCCTTCCAGGCTGAATGCAGACTCCCAGGGCCCATGCTTCCACCTGATGAATGATGGCCTGAACTATGAGCAAACGGGACTACATGAACACTTCGGTGCAGGAGCCTCCTCTTGACTACTCTTTCAAAAGCATCCACGTGATCCAAGGTCAGCCCACAGAGCACAGCAATCAACACAACATTGTATCAAGCTAGGAAATACCTAGGAAAAAATCCTTAGTCTATTTTAAATGCCTAAACATATTTTTCCCCAACTTCTTGTCTTTGAAAGGAGAGGGAGAAATGACGATTTTTTTTTGTTGTTGTTGTTTTACAGGGCTGAGCTGAGGAGTGAATGCAAGGATGCTCTCTGTATCTGAGCTCTAGCCTCAGCCTTGAGATTAAAATATACATATTTAGTTTTATTTGTATGGGTGTTTTGCCTGCATGTGTATCTGTACCCCTTGTTTGCCTGGTACAAACAGGCCAGAAGCAGGCACCAGACCCCATGAACCTGGAGTTACAGATGGCTGAGCTTCCATTAAGGTGCCAGAAATTCAACTGGGTTCTCTGGAAGAGCTGCCAGTTCTCTTAATGGCTGCACTATCTCTTCCAGTCCCTTGAAATTTTTTTTTATGTATATGAGTGTTTTTCCTGAATATATGTATATGTACCACATGCATGCCTGGTGCCCAAGGAAATCAGAAGAGGGCTTCAGAACTGGAGTTAGGGATTGTTGTGAACCATCATATGGGTAATACAAACCAAACCCTGATTTTCTGCAAGAGCAACAAGTGCTCTTAACCACCAGTGGTCTCTTGTGGTAGTTGACCCATCTTCAAGAGAAGCCAGGCTACAGCAGGAAATTCATGAATACTGAGAAATCACCCAATCAGGCAGAACCCTTAGTATTCTTGATAAGAAACTAGTAAGAAAAAAGAGGTCACTGCCAGGTTCCACCATGGTGGCAGAACCCTGCCTCTTCTGTCTAGGAACACAGGCCTGTTCTCCTTGTTGGTAAAATATGAGAGGTCTTTTTTTTAGCAACAAACTGGCATATTCCAAGTTAAAATTTTTGACAAATATCCATTCATTCCATACATGCCAAGTTTATTTCATCAGCACTAACATTCACTGCAGTCCCAGCTCTGCCCACACCCAATCTCATTTACTATTCAGTATCTTCCTAAATAGGTAGCTAAGCCCTTTCCCACTACATGATGAAGTTTTCACAGCACTATATGCTCAAGTAGGCAGTTCCGCCACCTCTTCCTTTGGTTACTGACCTCACAGAACACATGTACAAACTCACTATATCAGATACGTTGTCAGGCCACTCATTAGCTCAGCAGTGTTACTAGCCTGGGCTCTGGTTCAGGGTACTATTTCAGTTAGTGTCCAACACACTGGTATCTCACGTCTGTCTCTCTCCAACAGGCACTCATTTACCATGACCTTTATTGTGCTTTACCTTACTTCTGACCGATATAATACATATTTCAAAAGCATTTTAGTTGCGATAATAACTGTGCATGAAAGCAAAAATGACCCTGTCTCAAAAAACCAAAAAAAAAAAAAAAGAAAGAAAGAAAGAAAAGAAAAAGAAAGCAAAAATGACTGGGGGGTGTAATGGCTCCTACTACTGCATAGAAATTTCCAACTTTCAGATCTTCCAATCTGACTCTGCTCTTTGTGGACTCAGAATGACGGGATACACTAGTCAAGGTACAGCACAAAATAGAATTTGCTGATGCCACCCACTCCATTCAGAACTTACTGAGCTCCTTTTAATTATTATTGGTGGTTTTTAAGACAGGGTTTTTCTGTGTAGCCCTGGTTGTCCTGGCTTCAAACTCACAGAGATCCACCATCTTCTGCCTCCTAAGTGCCATCACCACTGCTCAGCTGAACTCCTGTTATTTATTAAGCAGTATTTACATATATGTGGAGACATATACACAATTGTGTTCCTTGCTAAGCCTTTTAAGGAGTAGTAGAATGAAAGACATATTAAACCAAGAGCTCTTTCTGTTCCCTAGAGCTTAGATTTAGGGGATTCTTGGGACAGTATTTGCTGAATTAATCAAGGTGTACCACAGAATTTGAGATACCAGTGACTTTATAAAACATCTAACTTGGACTTCCTGGTCAGGCAGAAGCTTCAGGAGTGTTACCAAACATAAGCTCATCCCATGTACAACTAGTAGCTTGTTAATGTGAAGCAATAGGTACCTACAGCAATTTTAGATGCCTCCTTTTACTCTAGGTAACAGGAGTTCAAGCTGTCTCACATTAAGGCAACTCCATCCAGGGGTTCCCTTACAGTGTGGGACCAGTCTTTTATATGGCATTCCCCTAAAGCTTCTGCATTATCAGAACAGATGCTAGTTCATGTGTAGTTATTCTGACATTATTATTTATCTAAGTTGAATCCTTTGAAAGTTTTCAGAAGGTGTGAGAGGGAGACAGGATTTAGAATCTACTCGTGCCCCATTATCCTTATACTCTGCCCACCAGGGCCCAGCCTTGGGTTCTGTTCATTCCAAGACTAATGCAGAGAGCCACCTGGTGGATGCTGTTTAACCTGCAGCTGAGAGGAAGTGGTCGTCTTGGGTGTGGAGAGTATGCTTTCTCCTACAGGTCCCTTAAGACTTGCTAGAGGTTTGGGAGCAGTAGGAAAGGGAACCACTTTAAACTGCAGTCTGGTTCTGGGTCTCCCACTGATGCCAGCTTGGATAGAGCCGGCCCACCCACCTTCATTATGATCCTTATTTGAAAGAGATAGCAGGGGAGGGAGTGTGTGTGTGTTCTCTGCACCCTCGCTTTCCAATGTGGGTATTCGGGATACCTGCTTGCACTTCCTATTCATTTCACTCCAATTTGGCTCCTGTTCTCAAGCCTTTACATGGTTACCAGCTACTTCTGAGCTGCCAGAATTATTGTTGAATCCTTACTTTTCTCCTTACTCCTCCATATACTGCAGATTCTCCAAACACCTTTAAACTATTCCCCCAAGAGCTTAGCAGGTAAGGGCACTGGCTGCTTTTCCAAAGAATCTGAGTTTGATTCCCAGCACCACATGGTTCACAAACATCTGGAATTCTAATTCTCAAGGATCTGATGACCTCTTCTGGCCTTACTAGGCATGGGACACACACACAGGCAAAATACCCATATACATGATTTTTTTTAATTAAAATAAATAAAACCATTCTCTCCTGCATCCCTGTTCTTCAGATTATTTACTATCTTTTTAAATGTCTTTTTCTTCCTCTCTGGGGAACTGCCTGTTTCCCTAACTTACATACCCTATACTAAAATTTGTAAGGTTGTTTCCTTGGCATTAGACCTTCATTCTAATGCCTACCTGCCTAGCTGGCTTCTCCTGCCTTTTCATACAATAGGAACCTCTAAAACATCAAATCTAAGCCTAAACTCATCACCTTTCCAATCCAATTTCTCCTGAAATTCTTCATCAGCTAATAAGCCTGAACAAAAAGCTAGGCACCATCTTTTATATAGCCAAATCATAATTGCTATGTCCAATCATAATTGCTATATCCATCGGTTCTCATGCTAAAGTAGACAAACTGATCTTTGAATGCTATCTACCTTCTACATTAATGTGCTACATAGAAGCTTCAAAGTCACAACTGAAAACCTGAATTGTCTCTAGAGGGTTTTTTAAATTTTTTTTTCCATTGGTGTTTTGACTGTATGTCTGTTTAAGGGTGTTGGATACCCTGGAACTGGAGTTTACAGTTGTGAGCTGCCATGTGGGTGCTGGGGATTGAACCCAGGTCCTCTGGTAGAGTAACCAGTGCCCTTAGCCTGTGAGCCATTTCTCCAGCCCTCTGGTGGGGATTTTTGTTTTGTTTGTTTTTGAAACACGGTTTCTTGGGGCTGGAGAGATGGCTCAGAGGTTAAGAGCACTGGCTGCTTTTCCAGAGGTCCTGAGTTCAATTCCCAGCAACCACATGATGGCTCAAAACCATCTATGATGAGATCTGGTGCCCTCTTCTGGCGTGCAGGTATACATGTAGGCAGAACACTGTATACATAATAAATAAATCTTAGAAAGAAAGGATGTAAGAAAGGAAGAAAAGAAAGGGAAAGAAGAGAAAAGAGAGGAAAGAACGAGGGTTTCTCTGTATAACAACCCTGACGGTCACGAAACTTGACTTTGTAAATCAGGCTGGCCTTAAACTCACAGAGATCTGCCTCCTAAGCGCTGGGATCAGAGGTTGTGTGCCACCAACATTTAGCTGAATCATCTCTGTTTTAAACACTCCTGTGACTTCTCATTACCTACAGGACAAAGCCCAAGAGCTTAGCCTAGCATTTAGGACTAAGGACTGGCTTCTGTCTGCTTTTTTTCTACTTGTGCCCTTGTGCCTGGTACTGGTGGACATGTGTCTCCATCATCTTTTCTTGTACCTTTCCTCATGTTGTTCTCATCCTTTCTCTCCTTCTTTGCCTGGTTAATGTCTACTAATCTACCAAGTTCAGCTCAGATTTCACCTTCCCTGTGCTCTCAGAGCACCAAGACCATTTCCTTGATGCAATCACTATGATTACCACATAACACTCATTGCTAGTTTGTTTCCACCCTGCCCACAGAAATTCCTCTGAGACACATATGGTTTCATCTCTGCCCTACTGCTCATCCAAAGCCTAGCACATTCTCTCTCATTGCTTACTATTGTGTATCTACTATCTGATAAAGCTTAATGGAGGAGTGACAGACACTGGATATGCTCCAATGAAGTGAATTCTGTAAGCTATACTAGAAGAGGATTCTGCATTTTGTGATATTATCTTAGTTTACCCCAACATCTCTGGTTCTTACTTTCCTTATTTGTAAAATGAGAAAAAGTCTGTTCCATTAACAAGGGTGGTATACACAGAATCCAATAATACAATAGACATGAGAAGGCCATCCTACCTAAAATTCTTCAGCTCTTACTCTAAACTTACTCTGATCTTTGGAGTTTGAGGCAGGGAGGGTCAACTAGACTCTGGTGCTGTGCCCTGCCAAGGTCCCAAAGTAGCACTTGTATGTTCATCTTTCCAGCTCTTCTTTCTCACTCCCTAAGCAAGGATAATAAACCCAAGCCTCGGGCTAGAATGATGGCTTAGAGGTTAAGAGCACTTGTTGCTCCTATAGGGATTCCTAATACCCACATAGTGGCTCTCAACCACCTATAACTCCAGTTCTAGGAGATTTTGCACACTTCGGACTTCTGCAGACACCAGGCATGTACATATATACAGGCAAAACACTCACACAAATAAAACTTAAAAAAAAATAAATAAGTGAATGAATGAACTCGTCTTATTTTGTCATCATAGATCTGGTAAGCGAGGAGCCAAGGACAGGTCTACGACCAGTGAAGCACTCAAAGTCAGGAAAGTCACTGACCCAGTCCCTGTGGCTCAACAACAATGTCCTCAATGATCTGAAAGACTTCAGCCAGGTGGTTTCACAGCTTCTGCAGCACCCAGAGAACCTGGCCTGGATTGACCTCTCCTTCAATGACCTGACTTCCATTGACCCTGTGAGTTCCTATCCCTAGACATCTAGTCTAGGGGCAGCTTGAAGCCACAGTGTCCAGCCACAACCTTTTTCCTCCCTTGTCAAGGAAGCAGAGGCAGTTCAGTGTAGGTCAAAGGACATAATTGCAGAGATACATAGATGTAGGCACAAATCTTTCATTTCCCCCTTATTATGTGACTATATATATCTTCTTTGTTTTTGTTTTGTTTTGTTTTGAGATATTAGTATCCCTAGTTGGCCTGGAACTCACTGTGTACACCAGGCTGGCCTTTACTTACAGAGATCCACCTGCTTTGACCTCCTGGAATCTCACTAGCTATAGTTTCTTAAAACTTCAGTCTCAAAAAAAAAGGAAAAAAATGTATGAGAACCAATTTGCCTATCAGTGACTGGGGCAAAACTATAGCAGTCATCATTAGGAACTTAACTGTGTTTGGTGCTGAGTTCCACTGAGGAAGAGGTTGTAGAAAAGTACATCAGTTGCTTTCTGTGAAAGGGTTTCTCTGTGTAGCTTTAGAGCTTGTCCTGGAACTCACTCTTTAGGCCAGGCTGGCCTCGAACTCACAGAGATCCTGTAGCTTCTGCCTCCCAAGTGCTGGAATTAAAGGCGTGTGCCCCCACGGCCAAACTATAAAAACATAGTTTGGCCAAGTATGTTGGTACTTGCTTATAATTCATGCACTTGGAAGGTGGAGGTAGGAAGATGAGTTCAAGGTCATCCTCAGCTACATAGCTTGAGACCATCCTGGACTACATGAGAAAGGAGAAGGAAAGAAGATAGAAAAGCAAGCAAACAAGGAAGAAAAAAATTTGGGAAAGGAAACATTTGGGCCCCTTTTTGTCCAAGATCCCTATTGGAAGGGGAAAGGTTTGGAGCATGACTTAGAGACTGTTCCCCTGAAATATACAATGATATGAACTCAGCTAGGATCTTCAAAGCTTATTCCTCAGCAGGAGGAATCATGGGGTCATCACAGTTCAGTTAGAAAGGCCTTCAGGATTAAGTTAAATCTCAGGAGTGGAGCTGTCAGCTGACCAGTCAAATGGATAACCAGCTGGATGCCAGCTCTATGTTAGGTTTTGTTTCTAACTCTTTTAAGAGCATTTATTGTTCTTGCAAGAGAACCCAGGTTCAGTTCCTAGCACATACATGATGGTTCACAACCACCCATATAACTCTGGGGACCTACCTGATGCCCTCTTCTGCCTTTCATCAGGCTCTTATGTGGGGCACAGATATACATGCAGACAAATACTCATACACATAAAATAAGGGCTAAAAGATGGTTCAGCAGTTAAGAGCCCTTGCTGCTCTTCCAAGGACCTAGGTTCAATTCCTGGCACCCACATGGTAGCCTACAACTATCTATAAATCCAGTTCCAGGGAATCTAATGGTCTCCACAAGCCCTAGGCATGCTTGTGGTGTATACACATACATATACACGAAATATCCATACAAATAATTTTTTAAATGTAATAAAAGCAAAGCAGAGTCATCTAGAATGGCTGTGAAGGATGCTGAGGGGGCCCAAGTTGTTCTCCAGACTTCGCTTTCTCTGCCAGATAGCCTATCTGAGCAGAGATCCATCTTTGTCCAGCTTGACTTTTGATTTCTGCCCTAACAGGTCCTAACAACATTCTTCAATCTAAGTGTCCTCTACCTTCATGGCAACAGCATTCACCGCCTAGGGGAGATAAATAAGCTATCTGTCCTTCCTCGTCTCCGGAGCCTAACCCTCCATGGGAACCCCATAGAGGAAGAAAAGGGGTACAGGTAAGTACCTGTAGCTGGGGTCCAGATGAGCCTCCCTAAGGAACAACAAGGGGTGGGGAGACAAAAATCAAGAACATTCTTCTGCCCCATGTGGACTCCAGATGGAAGTGGCTGACCTCTAAGCACTCCCCTTGATCTCAGGATGAACCTAGTCTTCCCAAATCACAGCCAAGCTCCATTCCTTGCTGTCAGAAGAGATAGCAGCAACTGGTAGAGGGGGAGGGAGTTCTATATGGGGGCTCGCCCCAGCCCAAGTCTTCCTCACAGGCAGTATGTGCTGTGCAACCTGCCCCGTATCACCACGTTCGACTTCAGTGGAGTCACCAAGGCAGACCGTACCACAGCCGAAGTCTGGAAACGCATGAACATCAAGCCCAAGAAGGGCCGGGTCAAGCAGGATGTACTCTGAGATTGGCAGGACCCCAGCACACCCAATGCCCTGAGGATGATCAGCTTGGTTTGACAATAAATGATTTGAGCTGTTCAGCAGATTAAAGTCCCCTGTACCTTGTAAAGGTGTCTCCACACCCAGCAACTACCAGTAAAACTTCACAGTGGAGGCAAAGGCCTGCCTACTGGCCTAGGACCCAGGAGCCTGGTGCTACCATGGAGGAAACTCTTCTGTCCTCACTGGACCCTCTTTGTACTCTTTATGTCTCCAGATATCATGGGAATGGAGTAGATTTCCAAAAACTTTTTTTTTTTTTTAAAGAGATTCTAACTCTAGCCCAGGCTGCTTTGACCCTGTAGCATCTTCTTGCCTCAGCCTCAGACATGAGGAATAAGCCACCATGTCTCACTGAAAATCTTCATCAAGCACTAAGGTGTGAGGAGCTGCCTTCAGCCTCCAGACTAGGGCCAGAAAATAGCTTTGATCTATTTTTATTAGTGTAGAGTAATTTAATCTTAGGTTGTGATTCTGGCTAAGATTTTATTTCCTAGCCTGGTGGTGATTACACACATCTTTAATCCCAGCACTGGAGGCAGACAACTGGATCTCTGTGAATTCAAGACCAGCCTGGTCTACATAGTGAGTTCTACAACAACAACAAAAACAAAAATTTAATTTCCTGAAAAGAATGACCAGCAGAATATAATCTCCTCCTACCCCTAGGGCTATGTGTAAGGTTATTGAGCCTAAGGCAAGGTCTCCAACAGTGCTCTGACAGTGTCCTAATCAATAGGTAAGGGAAAGTGAAGCCTCATCCTACCTGAGGGTACCCACACTGCAACAGCTAAGACCTGGCACCCTGAACTTTTATCTCCTGGATTTCTCTTTAATGCTGCTGAAGACATTCCTCTGCATCTCACTGCTCACAAACTTGAATAGTCAAAAATAAGTAGTGGAGTGTTGGGCACGACAGAACAGGCTGAACCAGCAACACAACTGAATATACTTCCTTTATGGAGGGGTGACAAACAAAAACAAAAAGACCAAACATGTAAAAACCCAGGGCACTAGAAACTCAATTCAGATTCAAGCTCATCTAGACCCTGGTCATAATCCCTAGTGAGGTGCCTCTGAGCACCGTGTCAGGGAATGAATGGGACAAGAGTGAATTGGAGGCCAAGAGAAAGGGTGGGAAGAGGGATCCCCTAGGTCTCCCGGTGTTCACCCCTACAGTGGTATCTCCATTTTCCCAATGACTGTGAAGATCTGCCAGGCCCAGGCCTCTTGGCCCCAACCTCACCCCAGCCAGGACTTGAAGGCCAGTGGCAATCAGTTCTTCCCTCCTTTGCTTAGTCCTCACTTGCTCAGGCTTCTAGCCTTATTGTTTTCCTCCACATTCTTCTCCGTGATTAGTAGCAGGTTAAGTACTGTAGAAAGCCACAGTGAGGCTGGGGCCAGAAGAGGTGGGGTGGAGACGGGATGAAGAGGAGGGAAGAGCTGTCCCAGGACCCCTCTCTTCATGGGATCCCAAACTGTACAACCAGCTCTTCTTTCGCGTCCACACGGATCTGAGAAAGTGCACTGTAGGCATAAGCAGCTATCCTGGAGACCTGAGACAGAGGAGCCAGGGAGGAAAAGAACAGACATGAGAGGGAGAGCTGGGAAAGTGAGAGATGGGATAGCAACAAAGAAAATGTCTGATGAAGGATGGAGAGCCAAAAAGAGCTGGGTGTAGTGGTGCTTGCCTGTAATCCCACCATTCAGGAGGTTAAATCAGGAAGGTTACAAGTTCAATGCCAGCCTGGCCTAAAGCAGTGAGTCGTTCTCTCAAAACACCAGGGTTAACACTTGCCTAGCATGCACAAAGTCCTGGGTTTTATCTTTGGGAGGAAGTGAGAGAGAGAGAAGGAAAGAGGGAGGGAGGTGGGGAGCAGACAAAAACAAGGGAAGATGCTGGGAGAGTAAAGGGCATGAGGAAGAACTAAGAAGCCTATGAAAACTAAGAGAATAAGCTGGGCTCACCAAACGCCAGGCTCCCTCCCATCTGTGAAGCAGTACAGAAGGGGGCAAGGGGCAGGCCAGAAGTGCTCACCTGCTGCAAGTCGGAGAAGGGGATGGGCTCGCTGGCCAGCACTTGGTGGGGCTGGCTGGTCAGAGACGGCAGCGGTGGCAGTTTCTTCCAATGGGTCAGACTGCTGCTAAGCACAGCCAAGCGGGTACTAGCCAAGAGGGAGGGGTCATGGAAGGACAATTAGGCCAAAGCTTGTCCTGCCCTGCCCTGCCCTGCCCTGCCCAGGTAAGCCTCACTCCCTCAGGCCAGGGGAACATGGTGACAGTGTACAGCTCATCACAATCTCACTTGACGGTACTCCTTTGGTCTGATCACCGTTGATCAAATATACTGGGCAAACAGGGCTGACTTGAATGCATGAAGCACCTAAGTGATCTGCAGTCAGTCTTCTGGGCTGCACCCAAATGAAGAGCCTGGATAGAGAACCAGCTAGAAAGGAATGACTAGGAGGCTGGCCCTATGCTCACCTGTACTGCCTTGCCCGGTCCATGTACTCATGCTGCTCCATGCCCTGGGAGTCTGCAGCAGACACATCAATGATGTTGCTTTGAAGAGAAGAGGCAGAGATGATGTGACAGGTGCTTCAGAGAGGCACAGACAAGAATCAGTGCTAGGTGCCAAGTGCAAGGCTATCTGACACTAGTACTCCCACCTGCCACTGTAACAGGGCAGAACTCAGAAGTATCTGAGGCATCTCTCCCTAATGACCTTGTCCTATCCCCTATGCTCTAAGCTTGGCTGCCTCTGCCCCAGGCTGGTCCTGTGACACTCACCTAGCTGTCTTGGCAAGGATGGAAGAAAGCAGAGCCTGCTCATCTGTGCGAGCTGAAGGTAGGCTGTGGTAGTTGGGCTCGGCTCCATTGAGGGCTTTGGTTGGGGTGCTACTGGGGTCCAGCAACAGCTTCCGCTCCTCCCGATCCTAGGCATAGAGAAAAGTCAGGACCAAGACCTTAGGTCTAACCTCCTTCCTTTCCACAGGCCCTCTCCTCAGACCAGCGCTGACCTTTAAATCTACAACTATTTTTATAAAGATAATCCAAAGAGTTCAGATTCAGTCTCTGACTGGCCCAAAGCTGGTGATCTAGGATGAACCTAGAGAACCTGAAAAATGCAGAGAAGAACAAAGTAGGCATTCTCCAACAGTCCTGGAACCTCAGTGAACTAGTCAAACACCTACTGGACAAAGACTATTGGAAACAAAATCAGAGAAAGTGGGAAAGTACCAAAAATAGAGGAGAAATGAATGCAAGTCAGAACCCGAGAAGTGCCTTCCTGGTCCCCTGAACAAAGTACTTCCCAGCAAGGATGTTGGCCCTTGTGAGTCCCTGGTGAGGACAGACAGGAGAAAGCAGGTCCACTGATCTTGCCATTCCTCATATTACCATAGTGCAGAATCTCCAAGCCCACAGGGACACAACCACCAATACCCTCTCTTTTCTATATAAAGCCACAAGAAACACAGTATACATATGCACACAACACACATCTTTCCATTTCCCTAGGCTACCCTGGTACTATATAACCAAGCTGGCCTGAAACTTGCCAGTGCCCAGCCTCTACCTCCCCCAGTGCTGAAATTACAAGTATGTTTTGGGTGTTCTTTTCTGCTCTCAGGTATTCACCCTCCTGTGGCCTGGCACCTGGTATACACTGACCTCAGAGGAAAAATGGAGCTGTTCCTCCTTACCAAACTAGACTCTTTCCTCAACACAGCTTCCACGGTCTTTAGCAGCCCTGATATTAGCCTAGATAGACAACCACAACCACCAGGACCAATCTAGAATTAAACCAAGTCTTCATCTTTTGTAACTATTTTCCTTGTCCTGGTTCAGACTTTGTTCTCTTGCTTTCTAGCTCAACACTGCCTTGAGTCCACCAGCTGAAGATCCCTCCTAGTTTTGTGTCAGGTGCACTCTGGATAAGCAGATCAGCTGAATGTCTATTTGGGCCACAGAGAGCTAGGACAAGGCCACTTCTGAAGGAATATAGTGTGAAGAAGGAGGGGAATGCTGGCCAGTGCTGACCCATCAACTTTCAGTGGCCAACTGCCAATCTCAGTGCTCTTCTCAGCGTCTGTCTTGGTTCCTACCAGGTTCCCTGCTGCAGGAGCCAACTCCCTCACCCACAACTCTCCCTACAGAGAGCTACTTCCTCCTGTCTTGCCTGCCCCGCCCCAGACAGGCTCAGCCTTTCCAAAACTTTGTTCTTCCTCCTCAGGCCATTTGACCCAGTTCACCCTGGCAAAAGGAAGCATCTAGGGCCTTCTGCCCCATTACCTAGGTTCCCAGACTATCTTTCTCCTTTCTCAGTATTACCAGGCTAGGAAGATAAAATGTTTGCCAAAGATGAAAGGATCTCTAAGGAAAGCTGGCTCACAATGAGACCCACACTGCTTCCTATGTCTGCTCTTCCCAGCCCCATTCCTGACAAATCTTCCTGCAGGACCACAGGGTCACCATCGCCCCCATCTCCCCTGATCAAGGGTTCAAAAACAAGGTTGTCTTTCTAATTTCCTGAAAGGCCAGGCAACCCCCAAGA